AATATAGGTTTAGGGATCGACAATGGAACCCAGAAGTGCAATATAGGTTTAGGGATAGACAATGGAACCCAGAAGTGCAATATAGGTTTAGGGATAGACAATGGAAAACTAATAGCCAACCAGGCAACTTCAAAGAATGTCAATCATTTATATAATTTTTATATTTTGCACGTTAATAGAAAGCATGCGGTCAAGAATGGTGAAAAAATTATTACGCAGTGCTCATGGCTACAGTTAAAGTGACAAAATTTCAAAATTAAAAAATAAAATATGCCTTAATTGTCATTTTTTGAAAAATGGCTCTCACAGTTAATACTTAAAATATAGTAATAATAATATAATAATATTTTTCCTTAGTAGAATGACATTGCTATTCTACATATGAGGAAAATTGTATTTACAAAAACTTATGCGTCAGGAATTCAAATTAATTGAAAGATCTCTGAAAGCAACAGAAATGTAGAAAAATGTATCAATAAATACTAATCGCAATTGTGATTTGCACGCTACCCAGAAGTGCAATGTAGGTTTAGGGATAAACAATGGAATACTGCAATTTGATTATGAACAAGTGATGCTTATGAGGTTATTACAAACATAGTTCGGTGACTGTTGTTAGTTTGTCCATTCAAGTGCCAAAGTGGGAAAAACTTTCAATTTAGGTGTGCTTTCAACTGCTGCCAAATGCTAGGTGCTGGACGAATGGACTATTCGATTTCTGGAAGCGTCAAGGATTTTCAAGGTTAGCAGCTTCAAGAGTTTACAACTAATATAACAACTGTGAAAAAAATCAAATGATCGGACAAAGACAAAGGATAATTAGCTATGAACGAGCTTGGTGTGAAACTGCACAGCTGTATCAAACCTCAACTCATATTTCTACCCTCGAATTGAGGAAAAAAATGGTCTAAGTCATCAGAATATGGATAAATGTGTTGCGTTTCTGACTCCATGAAACAGTAAAAATCTGGGTACATTTTATCGAATTGCTTTGATTATTGCGAATTTAACAATAGAGTATGGTTTATTGTTATGTATGATAAAACGTGGTAATTTTATAACGATAACTTTGAGAATGGCATCAATGTACCTGAATTTTTTTCTCCTTGTGGATTAACAGGAGCTACGTATGAAGTTACCACATCGTTTTCACGTGTGCACAACTGAAGCACTGGGCTACATCTTATCTTAGCATTGTTTATTCTTAATTCAATGGCAATTTAGTTCTCCGTCCCTGATCTGCGCCTCCACCATTTGTGCAAAAAATATCGTTTCGATTCCGTTTAAAATTCTTAACTCTGATAATTATGCCTCGATGGAAAAAAGTAGGTGTTGCCATTCAAATATATCTAAGTTTTATCTCAATAACTGTGAGAGTTGATTGAACTTTCTAGATTTCATACTGTTTTGTACCTTTATCCTAAATTTTAGGCATTTCTCATAAGCAGTAAGTATGCTCTGCAGAGAATCATAAACTAGCAAAGTTACTTTGTAATGATATTACAATGCGCCAAAAAAACTGACCACACAGAATAATTTTCGATCTAATAACTTTCGATCTAATATTCGAATCTTCACTTTCTAGGACTCAATCCTAATGGCTCGAGGGGGTGACCTCAAATATGCTAATTAAATAGTAAAGACGATATTTTAAGTTACGAAATCAGGCACAAAAACGTACTTTCACAGAATAAACATACCTTATTTTCGACGAAATCAGATTTCTGCCCCCCCCCCCAAAAACAAAGTAGCAATCTGGGAAATATGGTCCCAATAGATTTGTCTGAATGGCGCTCCGCAGTTTGGAACTTAATGATAATTTTAAATTTTGCATATGTAGCTATATGAGTAATTCTACAAATAAACGCCAATTAGGCGGCCAAAAAAAAAATAAAAACATTTTTTTTGGGGGGGCACGCTATTTCTACATGAATTTTCTTCTTTTTTACACCCTAAAAAGGCAAGAAAAAATCGTGAACATGGAATTTTTCTTTGTGACATACTTTAAATGTGACATACTCTTTCTGACATACTCAGATAAATCTGAGCCATTTATTCAGATAAAACGATTTTTACATAAATATAATATTATTATAATGTCTCTCTAACATGTATTTATAGAGATTTCGTACTATAAGATTATATTTTAGTATAAAAAACAAAAATAAAAAAATTTAATCAAAGTTCCTAAATTGAAAAAATCGGGAAAAATTTAAAATTGGTATTTTGTCATTTAAAGTATGTCACAAAGAAAAAATTTAATGTTTAATATTTTTTCTTGCTTTTTTAGGGTGCAAAAAAGAAGAAAATTCATGTAGAAATAGCATGCCCCCCCCAAAAAAAACATTAAATTTTTATTTGGCTGCCTAATTTGCGTTTATTTGTAGAATTGCTCTTATCGTCGCTTTGAAACTAACCGTAGTAAATCGAAAAATGAGATATGTGGGTCATTTCGTGTAAAAAAAAAATCACCCTTTTAGAGAAACAAAGTGTTATCTTCATAGTTCCATAAAATTAATTTAGAGATCAGATAAATCTTTATCGCATTGGCGCGATTAGCATTAGCGCGGAAACTTAGAAATTGTTCTCCTGAAAAACTTGCTTTTTTGAGTTACCACGGTTTAGTTTCAAAACGACGATATGAGCAATTCTACAAATAAACGCCAATTTTTATACTAAAATATGATATTATAGTATGAAATCTCTATAAATACATTTTAGAGAGAATAATAATATTATATTTATGTAAAAATCGTTTTATCTGAATAAATGGCTCTCAATCTGAGTATGTCAGAAAGAGTATGTCACATTTAAAGTATGTCACAAAGAAAAAATTTCATGTTCACGATTTTTTCTTGCCTTTTTAGGGTGTAAAAAAGAAGAAAATTCATGTAGAAATAGTGTGCTCTCCAAAATTTTTTAAATTTTTTTTTGGCCGCCTAATTGGCGTTTACCTGTGGAATTGCTCATATCTCGAGAAATGTTTAAGCGAATTTAAACGTTTTTTGCACACAATTCATTCGAAAATAATTCAATGCAAGAAATAACTTTTAATAAATATTTATTGTTTTTTATTATTCTATTTATTAATGGTCGAAAAAAATTTTATTTGTTAGATAGACAATTTATTGCATAATTTTAAAGATTTCAATTTCAAATGGCAAAATACAAAATTTCATCGGAGTCAGTCAAATAGTTTCGGCGAAATTGAATTTTGAAAGAGTTAGATATTTAAAATTCGATTTCTTAAAAACTGTTCGACCAATTTTTCTCAAATTTTGTATTTTGCATTGTAACATTATACATTTCACAATAATGGAAAATTTCTATAACTCAAAATAAAACATTTTTCAACCATTTTGAAGTAAAATAATGAAAAAATTATAAATACTTATTAAAAAATATTTCTTGCACGGAATTATTTCAGGATAAACGAATTTTTCTATTGTGTGCAAAAATTTTTCGATTCTCGTAAAAAGTTCTCGAGAAATAACGAAATACGCGAAATGTGAAATTAACATTAAGGGGTCTACACTTTCGAGCGCTCTCTTAGCCAAACTATTAGGACCATATTTTCCACATTGCAACTTCCACCTACCTTTCAATTCTATACTTCGGGGTCAAAAATATGAATCCATAGAAAAATAGGCATGTTTTGTCTGAGGAAGTATTTATGTGTCTGATTACCTAACTTAAAATATTTCATCGGCTCTTATTAATATTTAAATATCATCCCCTCGAGCTTTTAAGATTGAGTCCTGGAATGTGAAGATCAGATCATAAAATCAAAAGTTATTCAGGGTGGTCCGTTTCTGTCCCACATCGTCGTTTGTTTATCAATCTGATTTTGACTTCGAAGGTCGAAGTGAATAAATTGTAGCAGTAGTAGTTGTATTTTTTGTACGTCATACTGGAGCTAAGTCTTGGGAACACTATTGAGGATGATCCGAAGACATTCTATCTCAGTTTTGTGATAAAATTGAGATTCTTAACGATGTGCGTCAAATATTCGGTAGATTAAAAAATATATTTCTCCCAATATTTTTTTCTGCAAAACGCACGTTATAAATTTGTTTAACACGCTGAACGCCACGCTAATTTTACATAGCTTGCCCGTCTGGCCAGACTGTAATTAACTACAAATTAAAATTGCAAATATTAGACAGATTTTGCTAGTTTTAAAAGGTTTAGCATGACATATATGAAGAAGTGGTGAATTATATAAGACTACGAATTGTTTAAAAATAGTGGTGGATAAAAATCTACTAAATTGAATTTATTAAACCAAGAATCACAATAATTAAGTAAATTTTGAGTTCTATATCATGTTATATGCTATCAGCGAGCTGTTTTTCGCTGCCTATGTGAAAGGTCACTGTCAGCAAGCGGTGGCAGACGCAGCCTAAATGTAACTTCAGTGTCAGCCACCGGTGGTTGACGCAGCCTAAATGTAATTTCAGTGTCAGCCACCGGTGGTTGACGCGGCCTAAATGGAAAGTCCAGTGTCAGCCATCGGTGGCTGACGTGGTGCTCAACGTGTTAAACTAAACTTCCTTAAATTCCAGATAAAATATTCTAAACTATACGATTTTGAATTCAAATTTAAAAAAAAAAATTAAGTAGATAAATTAAAGGGACTTTATCATAAAATAGGGCAGGGATGTCTCAGTAGATAGGCTTTTATCTTTTAACTAAAAATTTGTAATCCTGGAGAGAGCTAGTCTTTAACTATACTGCTGTCGAGCTACACCTCTTACACTCCTGAAGTAACGATATCTTAAGTGGCAAATAGATTAGCGTTAGAGCCTAATTGTTATTTTGCTTCCCATAGGAGGTTTCCTTAGTTAAAATAGGTTTATAGGTCGCCGTATTTCTGGTGTTGGTAAAAACAAAACTTCAACTATACATTGACAATTACGAAACTCAAAAGAAGACATCAATAAAATCAAAATTACTAATCAAAATAATGTGACTAAATATTATAAAATGAATATTCTTACCTCGGGCCATTGGTGATATCATGAGCAAATTTACAAATGCAGCTCCATGACCCTGTCCAAGAACAGTAACATTTTTTGGATCGCCACCGAAGCCAACTATATTTCCTTGAACCCAGTGTAAAGCTGCAACTTGATCCATGAGACCGTAATTTCCTTTCGCAGATCCTTCAGTTGCTGGCAAAAATCCTGAAAAAAATTTTGAGTTAGTGAGGGACTTTTACAATCGACGCTCAATATAATGACCTCTGTGGGTCAAAAAGAAATAGACGACATAATATTAGTTGACTTAATCGTGAAGGCTCAAAACTGGAACAGATATTTACCAACGACTCATATATACAGGAGTTATTTTGCGAAAAACATACTATACATTGAAAAGATTTAGGACACTGAATAATTAACTTTGACACAATGTCTTTTACGTCACAGTGCAAGTATTAATATAATACACTGCAGATTAAAATATATATGTGTGTATTTTTTTCCAATGGTGTCTTTTAACATTACGCTTAACTTTTACAGAATCATTCAGTGCTTTTTTTAAGTTTTGAAATTTTCTTTTACGAGAACAATGAAGTGAAATTAATTTTTTATCACATCACTTTCCTGACTTCAGAATTGCATTAAGATGTCACATTAAGTAAAGTGTATTCAAAGATTTACAAAATTTTATGGTTTTGATGTAATGCTTCTGTCCACTTCTTGTCCTCACTTTCCTGAAATTCAACTATCTCCAGGTCATATTTTGATTGTCCTTCTACACTGGCTAAACTCTACAACACAGAACCAAACCCCCAGACTATCAACTGCTTTGTTCACCAAGGGTATTTGGCATTGCTAGGGCTGTTTTGAACAGGTTCGGTGCTATCTGATTCCTCAGCACTACTTAGATAAGACAACATCAACATTGGACCCAATACAAAGATTACGCATGTATAAAGTAAACTACGAGATGGTTTCACCAGGAGGAAACAATAAACACTTACAATTCTCAAAAATGGAAAGTAATCGATGTTTTAGAATCTCTTTTGCCATTGGATGTACGAAGGACCCCTTAAGTAAGAATAAGCCATTTTTTCACTTCTTCATTCATAGAGAATTCCAGGTGTTTTAAGTGACACCAAAAGAAACAGTGATCTGATTCATTCCCTCCAGATATTGTTACCCGAATGGAAACTGTCAAAACTGAACTATAATTTTTAGGACTAAAATTTCCAGTAAACAGTTACTAAGTAAACGTAAAAATTATCAAATGAATGGTTTATTATGTACAGTACCTAATGTTATGGTTAGTAATGTTATAGTTATGTACAGTATGTAATGGTTATTTATGTACATTACAGTAATTGTACCAGAATTATTTTCCTAATTTAAAACACAGAGAAGATGAAAGGCTATTAATTATTTAAAATAATGTTGAATATTTTCACCTCGTCTTATTCAGTAGTGATTCGATGTATTTCAATAGTGTTTTTGCTTTCTTTCTTAAATAACTATCACTTCGTTGCCTCCAATCTGCATAATATTTAATTCTAAATATATATTTCAAAAGTGGAAATGATGGAACGCCTTGAATAGCTGCGTTTTATAAATCTTATTAAATTAAAAAAAGGTCAAAATAATTTATTTCAATCAATTGATAACACATTGGCAGTAAAATAAGAATTGACTTTAGTTGCTATCGAATATTTTGATGCTACTTTAAAGAAAATTCGAATAAAGTTTTTCTGAATAAAACGAATTTCTAATGTTCTTAAAGGGTTGTGAAACCATTATTCTTTTTGGCCGCAAGGGAGAGCTATTCTTTGGCACCAAGTATTGGAATATCATTTTCTTCCCTGTCATTTCATTCATTGCATAGCCCTATCTATAATACTGCATCGCGAATCTAAAATTCATTCTGGGAAAAAGAAATGTTCTATAGCTTAATTTACTGTCATCAGAAAAACATATAAATCACAGCAGAAAATTATAACATTACCGAATAGAAAATAACTCTATTTTTCTATGTTTATTTTCAAAAATGAAAAAGTAACATTTTGTAATGCGTATAGCTTCAAAGCGCAACTTTTTAGTGCATATTTATATATAGTTTTACATTTTTAACCATGAATATTAAATAGCAACACTCTAACTTAGAGCGTATAGTGATGTTTTAAATATTATTACTTTCATTAAATAATTTTTGATTTGAGATGTAGGGAATAAATTAGAAAATTTTAAAAAATATATATTAATTGAAAAACATTCTAAATTAACCTTATTATTATATTTTGATTTCGTATACCATGAAAAATGTCTGGTCAAAAGTGACAGAATGTGACTAAATTTAACGTGTTTCCGGTTCTGTCTGAATACCAAATAAATCGATAAATCTTACCAAAGCGCTTTGGAAATGATTTTGGTTAAATTTATTTAAAATATAGTGTTATAATGTGAGACAGAATATGGTAAATGAAGCAAAATTTTGTAATTTTACGATGATTCTTTAGAGCAGGGCACAAGAACCTTTTATTCGGCTAAATTTGCTTCTCATTTTGTATTTTTTACTAAATGTTAGGTAGTAAGAACTAAAATTTCAAAAAACAGAATTTTCGGTAAACCGTTATTATATGAACAGGAAAGTGATCAAAAGAATGGAATATAAATACTGTATATTTTGCTCTCATTTCCATTTTTTAAAAGAAATGTCATTACCATACAGTACGGAAATTTAACCAGATTTTTTTTCTCCGTGTTATTTATCTGTAATATATTTAGAAAATAGACGGATGCTAGACTTATCTATAAATATATATCGCTTCACAACTAATTAAAAATAAAACCTGAAGTAAAATTTGAGAGTTAAGTTCTTCATTTAAAGTGACTATTATTAAACTATTTCAAACGTGTTAATTTGTAGTACCACTACTTGTTATAATGGTGATTAATAGAGTCCAAATAATTATGCTATGAACATTATAATAACCATTCACTTTTTTAACAAACTTACCAGTATAAACTATTGTATACACCTTTCTATGAATTTTATGACTTAATTGACACAAATAAAACAAGTTAAAATTAAAAGAATTAAGAAAATTCTGGAATCAAATTCTAGGTCAACCCGAGGAAAATATTTCAAAAAATATTTTTGAAAAATAAATAATAAAAAATTTATAAAAAATTTTTTCATTTTATATATATATTCTTTTCGTTCTTAGAGCATTGTTAGTTTAAATAAAAAGCTTTTTGGCAAACTAATAGAGTCTAAAGAATTATACTATGAGCATTCTAATAACCATTCACTTTTTTAACAAGCTTACCAATAAAAACTGTTGTATACACATTTCAATGAATTTTATGACTTAATAGGCACAAATAAAACAAGTTAAAATTAAAAGAATTAAGAAAATTCTAGAATCCAATTCTTGGTCTACCCGAGGAAAATATTTAAAAAAACATTTTTGAACAATAAATAAAATAACATATAAAAAATATTTTTGCATTTTTTATATATATTCTTTTCACTGTCTCAAAATTCTTTTAAGAAGTTTATTTTATCTGCACCTTTAAATTTAAAAAGCTTTCTATCACCTACTTGTTTAAATTGAGGTTAATACAGTCTAAAGAATTATATTATGAGCATTATAATAACCGCTCACTTTTTTTACAAGTTTACCAATAAAAACTATTGTATACACCTTTCAATGAATTTTATGACTTAATTGACACAAATAAAACAAGTTAAAATAAAAAGAATTACGGAAATTCTAGAATCCAATTCTTGGTCAACCCGAGGAAAATATTAAAAAAAAATATTTTTGAATAATAAATAAAAAAATATTTTTGCATTTTATATATGTATTCTTTTCGTTCTTAGAGCATTGTTTGTTTAAATAAAAAGCTTTTTGGCAAGCTTCCTTTCCTCAAATAAAAAAAGAAATAACGTCTCAAAATCCTTTTTAGAAGTTTATTTTATCTACACCTTTTAATTTATAAAAGCTTTCTATCATCGAAGCAATTATTAACCTCTATTTTTTTTCCGTTCGAATTCCTCCTAGAAAATGAGAATTTATGAGACATTAATACTATAGTGTTGCAGAGAGGACATTCACTTGAGTTATGGATCAATGACAAAAACAGAAGGTACTCGCTTATTAGTGGTTTAGTTAATTGCCAATGATATCGCTGTACTTGACATTGCTTCCATAGCAACAATTAATAACCCCATTCTGAAGGTAACATTCCGGACTAGTATTAACTAGGTGTTTGTACTATTTTTTTTATAAATAAACCGAAAGGTATTCTTAGTCAGATTTGCAATTGCATACTCTGTTCAAACTGTGTGGAAAAAGGATAATTCGTTAAAAGCTTTCAGCCACGCTAATTAATTTAATCATGGTGGAACGTTAAATACTCTAGCTATTGAAATGGTTTTAACGGTGAAAGTTTAATGTTTTTAAATCACCTGCATTTTCTGGTTCGTAAGAGTATTTTGCTTCATTTAAATTAGCGTGAAAATATCGTACATTAATAACAAGATAGAATAAATAATACCCGAAGAAAAGTTAAGACTAATTGGATGGAATGATAAATATTAATGAAGAAATTAAGGAAACGTTTATTTAAATATTTTAATGGGAAATCAGTCTGTAAAAAGTGTTAAATTTCTGAATTTTAAATTACAACATACTGTTGTTGGTAAATATATTCTTATTTTTTTTTGATATCCTTAAAAAAATTGAAATTAGTAATGACAAGAAACAAGGTTTTTTTTTATATATATAAAGCTATACAATTTTAAATTTAAAGAATAAAATAAATAAATAAACATAAATAAAGGAAATAAGAACGAATTTTGTAATTGTCCGGCTAATGTACGGTTATTAGTAATAAATTACAAATACTTTTGCTTGATATATATTTAGAAAAGATTGATATACATGTTATAAATCTAAATCTTACAGAACCGTATTATCACAACCCAAAATATATTATTAAATTTTAAATATTTATTCACCATATATAATGGCTGTAAGTAGATTATTTCTGTTAATCTGTGTTTATATTTTTATATATATATATATCTATTAGTCATTTTTATAGTATTTAAATATTTCAAATGGATAACTATTATAATTTTTCCCTTAACCTCATACCAATAATGTAGGTGAGTTCAATNTATATATATCTATTCTTAAATG